GGTGGTAAAGGTGGTGGTAAAGGTGGTGGTAAAGGTGGTGGTAAAGGTGGTAAAGGTGGTAAAGGTAAAGTGGTGGTAGTAGCAGTCTGATGGTGGTAGTGTTTGTGTCCTGCTCCTCTTCCTACTTGCCCCTTTTTCCGCTGCTACTCCCTCCAAGTGGCAAGAACCTATGGCGGAGGACGTCATCACGCTGTGGGTGCCTTGTGGCCTGATGTCTCTGAAGGTGTCAGAATGAAACTCTTGTTCGTCGATGCCTTTTTGCCTTGCGACACCCGCGCAAGCGTTGCACATAGATGTAAGACAAATTGCCTCTCGTAGTCAGCCACCAGTTCAAGTGAACGTGGGTGGCGGCAAACAGTCTGGCATTAAGCCAAAGACCCTCCTTCTTCTTGTGAATGATGTGGTCTATTTGCCACAGAGCTGTCCCGTGTCTCTCGCCGTCATCATCCAATTGGTGTAGCTCCAGGTATTCCTGGTTGCCAAGTAAATGGATCCAGGGACCAGGCATACCGCTCGCAATCGGCCCGCACGCTCGCAAACGAGCCCCAAGCACTTGAGCACTTGAAAACCAAAACGGCAATGAGCATAAAAGCTCGTGCACTGACAAGGATCGTGACACTCGTGGAAATACTGTATACAGTATTTGTTTGAAACGTTCTTTGTGAAACGAGCTTGACTTGCTTGAGAGGCTTCGACATGCTGAATCTTGTGCGCTAGGTTTTCTGGCACGTAAGTTTTGTGTGTGTGTGTGTGTCTGTGCGTGTGAAGCTTTCACTGGAGAGGTTGAGATTTCTCCTTGAGACCGTCGGTATGCCAAGCTTGAGGTGTGCTCTGGATTCATTTGGTTAGCAAGGCATTTGTGTTTGGGTCTTTCCAGCTACCTCAACACTCAGGATCTTCAGGCGATGCTTAGGAGGAAAAAGGAAGACAACGAGACGACAACCAGGATGGAGGCCAAAGCAAGTAGGACAAGCAAAACATGAACTAGGAGACATAAAGAGAGAGAGAGAGAGAAAGAGGAAAACAAGAGGACAACCACAAGGTCAGTTGTCAACTAGCAATGCTTGGCTCTTGCTACTGCCACGTTTCAACTGCCCCAGCTCTTGCCAGCACTGCCAGCACTACGACTGCTGCTGCAACTGCAAATCTTGCCACTCCAACTAGTCACTTCGCTCCAGCATTGATGATACGGACCAAGTCAACGCAAAGCAGGCAAAGCAGGAGGTGAGCAAACATACAATAAGTGGCATGGTGGTCGTAGGCAACACTGTAATTAGTGGCAGCCACACAAGCTGCCATAGGAGCTCGGCAGGCCATTTTCTCCTTTGCGGTATGTTTGCCAACGCCTTCAAACTTTGACTTGCGAGGGTCATCCTCTTCGCTGCTTAAACATTTTCTGACCTTTGAATGCTCCCGAATGCTCAGGCCCAAACGAAGATTGAGATCTTGAGCGCTGAAAGGCCGGCGGCGGCAACTCTTCAAGCTCAAAAACCTCGAGTGCGGAAGAAGCAAGAAAGCTCTGACCACCTGCCTTTGAATGGAACATAAATGGCCCAAAAATGAGGAGAAGGGAAATGTGGTGTTGGTGATAGTGCAATCTGCTGCCCTTAGCTGTTGTGATTTGTACACTTGTCATGAATTTATGAGACACGTCGCAAATGATGGTAATGGGATTGATTGATGCAGCTCAGAACATATGAGCTGGCAAAGAGCGAATTGAGATGAAATCCGGCACGGTACACGAGCAAAGGTGAACAGTGAGGTCAACCAGGACAAAATCCAAGGAGATTGACGTGTGCAAATTCTTTGCCAAGAAAGAGCTCTCTGAATCCTTTGAGATCCGTATTCCTCCCTGCAACAGCCCTATGCTGAATTTGATGATGCCTTGTATCTATATATAATATATATATAATACATATTATATACATAAATATATATATATATACAGTATATATATAATCCTGGAATCTCTTTAGAAAGGTTTGGTCCCTGGACGATGGATCCTGCAGCTGGAACCAGCAAAAGTAATGAATGAACCATGAGTCACATATCCGGTTGCCGCCAGCTTGCTGCTGAACCATTCCAAGCCAAAGCGGTCCAAAGTTGTGTCGGGAATCAACAAAGTCTTGAAAGATTGCTGATTTTGTAAGCGTTGCGCGACGGGCAAACGGGCATCTCTGGCCTGCAGCGCGATTGCATGCTGAGCGAGTACTCGATCCACTCTTTATGCAATTGAAGCTTACTATAACTTACTGTACTGGAATCTGTGTCATTATCCTTTGGTCCCAGCTGTTTTGCGATGGAGCAGCGTCGTCCGCGGGCTGCTTCGTGACCACAGTCGAATTCATCACCGCTGGACTTGCGGTCCAGCCCAACTGCCATAGGCAGTTACGCTCCGGGCAGGACTTCACAACAAATGCGCGCCACAAACGGAGGGCGGGAGAGTGGCTCTGCCACAAGTGTTTGGCTTCCATCGGCGTGGGAAGCAAGGATGCCGGACGGTGACGACGTCCACAGGCTCTGCCCAGGCATAGGCAAAGCGGCAACAGGATTGTTGGATTGCCTGAGAAGAGATGCTCATCAGGTGATCATGGCTTTATTACCTACAACAATGCGCTTGGCAGTGAGGTGGTGGTCCGTGAGCGGTTAAGGCACACATCAAAATGTGTGGAGCGAAGCGGGTGGAAATGGAACTATACACCCCCAACCTGTCGAGCATATCACAACTGCCCTGCACTGACATTGCAAGCGCCCTCCTGATAAAATACTGCGGTACAACATTGAGTTCCTGCGGAAAAGAAAAATTCTGATGAGGACATTGACTTCCAGTCTCCTCTTGTTCTGAAACTCCACATGCATACTGTTTCCGCAAAGCTCTGGAGATAGAGTGTGTATGTGTTTGTGTTGTTCTAAACGGGCAAATTCGCCAGGTGGCAATGCTACTGAACTGAAAACAGCTCCTCAGTCTATCTTTGAATTGTCAGGCCCCCACGTCAACTTCCGCTGGCTGGATGCCAGGCGAAACAGCCCTTGCCTGTCACCATACACGTTCTTTTTGCAATCTTTCACATTGTGCAAATTCTTCTTTCTACCACTCTCAAGAAATTTTATCGAGAAGCTTTTGACATCTTGTTTAGGAGGCAAAGATGGAGACTGATTGTAGTGATATGGCATTTTGGTGGGAAAGCTAAGTCAGAACAAGGATCTAAGAAGAGTTCCTCTGCAGGCAATCGACCACCAAGCATTGCAGTCTTCTTTCCTGCAAGTCTCATCAAAGCTGATCTATATCAAATAGCAAGTGTCCAAGCAAGGCCAAGCTGGACGCCTTTTAAAGCAATCGGCACTTTCATTGCCATGAGGTGAAACTACTCCCACCACAAACCTTGAAGGAATTGCAATTCTGAAGCTAAATCCCCAGGGGCCAAATACCCACGTCGGTCGGGGAAAACAAATTCTACAAAGAACCAAGGCTGCACTGAGGAGGTGTTGGAATTGGAATTGTGGGTATGAGTACCGTACGGCGGGCCAGCGGGCGCCGTCTGTTTTCATCCAGCTGTCACGACAGTGTGCTGTGAGCCATCAAGGAGATAGCAACAGGAATTGGACAGTGCTAGCAGCTAGCAGAACAAGGGTTAGAAAAAGGATCTGAAAAACATGAAGGTAAGGGCCCCTTTACAAAGCGGCCCTTACCCTCCTTCATATTCCTGGTTTTAATCTGTGTTAACCCTATCTTTCTGCTCACTTCGCTCCCAGAGGCCTTCGGACCCTGAAAACGCTGCTCTCCAAGTTTTATCCGGCGAGACGGAGCGACGCTCACAGCACAGGCTGCCCTCGGTTCAAATGCCAGTTGGGTCATCTCACAGGCGCAAACACCCTTTAACAGCCGCATATGATTGAGACTAACTCTCACCTTCAAAAAAAGGACTGGGTATTAAGTATCCTTCTATGAACAGTTCTGGCCGGATTTGGGCAAAATGAGCAAGGACACTCAAACACTTGATTCAAACTGCTACGGTCACACTTCTGCAACAGGTACACGGCCTGCTTGCATAGATGACACACCTCTCCCTTCTGCATACGCACCTCCGCCAACTGTACTGCCACCGTGGGCATGGACGAAGTTCTGAACCTGCTGAGCGTAGAAGGGCTGTAGTTGGGCAAATTCAGCGAAGAATGCCTCTGCTTCAGCGGGATTGGGTTGTGAATCCCGTCCAAGACGAGATGCCAAGAATGCGTGCCATTGCGTCAGGGCAGCTTTGAGCTCCGCAGGCAACATCTCCATCTGCTTCTCGCAACGCTTCTGCCGGATCTTCTCCACCGCCCAACTTCCCACGCCGTAGCCAACCCCAGCACCAACGCCAACTAGCCCCAAAGTACTGAGGGATATAGCACTTAGCGTGAAATAAACAGCAGCACCAACGCCAACCTGCCACAGTGGGTCAAATTCCAAGTTGGGTAGCTACACATGGACTTTGACCTCCAACCTCATCATCCAAACACGATCCGTCAAACCCGAAAGTGAAGTCAGTGAAGTCGTTTATTTTCATAGCAGGCACGTGTGTCAAACGTCTGTGAACTAGATTAACTAGATAGATGCCACGATGGTGCGCATTGGCACACATGGGCATCTCTGGCAAACCCTGTTCGAAGGGTCTCTTAACAAACAACGCCCGCAAATCTCCATGTTCCCCAGATCCTGGCTTTGTGATTTCCGGTTCTCATACACCGTGCGGGTCCCCTGTGTGTGTGGATACATATACATATGAAGGGTTCTCCGTAAAGAACGGTTGCCATCTTGAAATGTCCAAGTATCATCATCATCATCATCACGACGATCATCACATTCACCATCAAAACCATCAGCACCGTCATCATCTGCATCATCATGTTCATTTTCATCACCATCATCATCATCGTCGTCAAGGTCGCAATCGTCATCCTCATCCTCCATCATCAAGGTGTAGGGATGCAAGAGATGCAACTGCTACAACACACCATCATCATCATCATCATCATCATCCATCATCATCATCACCATCATCATCATCATCAAGGCTCAGATGCTTGATGTGATTGCTAGAACACACCTACATCGTCATCGTCGTCATCATCACCATCATCCTCGTCCATCAAGAGATGCAGGCGGTGCACCTGCTATGACGCACTTACATAGATACAGGTGTTTGGATGCAGGTTTTGAGGCACAGGTGTTGAGACACCTGCAGACTCACCTTTGCAACTACAACTCGACATCGGTCTAACAATCTTCTCTTAAGGCGACGGGGCGGCCGGCGCTAAGGAAACGTGGCCCTCTGGGGAGATCGCGCGCGTCGGATGCCTGAAACTGTGGTAATATGCGAACCGTCTTCAACTTGATGACCCCTTTGTGATTCACCGGGCGCTCAAACGATGCGAACTTTTGTTGTCCTTGGCGAACCCTTTGCAGAGATTGCCCGCGCCGAGCTCAAACGTGAGCGCAATGCAAATTTGGGATGTTCTTGGTGAACTCTCTCGACTCGAGTGGTCAATGCGAAGTGAAATACAAATTTTTGCCGCTTGGTGACACGTTGCGCGCTGGACTTCACATAGAACGATGCGCTGGAGGCGGACACAGCCGGTAGAGACCCGTCACGTAGCGTCCCAACCGGTCGCTGGCAGCTCTGGCGCAGATCAAGAACCTGACCTCTCGATAGCCGATGCTGCTGCAGCTGCGTGTGCAGCTCAAAATGCTTCTTCTCTAGCTCGTCCAAGGGTACTGGCTTTTCAAGATCAAGAGGAAATAGAACCTTGGCAAAATTCTATATACATGTTACATGTCTGAGAACTGTTGCCCAAGAATCGTCCTTCTCTTGCAGTTTTTAGGCTGCATATGGTCAATACAGTTCCTCTGTAAGCAACACGTTTTCCAGATTGTTTTTCCTCACGCAGCTGTTGAGTGACTCCGAACTATGCGATTTTGCCTGCAAGGCATGGGCTGCGTATCACTGCAAGAGACGCACTGGTGCGATTGTGCTTGAGAGCACGTGAAGGGCTATCAGCCCTGCAGCTGGTGGAACTTGAAACGCTCATCTTCGGTCCGCGTCGGTTCCTGAAGTGGGAGAATGGGGAGGGGCGCCCGCCACCTCCAAATCCAGCTCGTAGCCCTTTGGCTTCAAGCCAACCTTGCACTCCTTCCGGCGCCAAAAGCAATAGGCAGCTTTGCTCGTCCATTTGCAAGCTGGGCGATTAGTCTCACCAAGACCGTTGATCAAGGTCACGTCGCTGAAGATGCGCCGGCCTGGATATCTTGCGCGAAGAACACTCTGACATCCAGCATCCAATCCGGCAAGGTTGCTTTTCAGCTGCGCCAAAGATTCCATAGCACTCTGGAAGCGTCTGGGAACCAGGGTTCAAAAGACTTAACCGTGGAGTCAAATCCTCTCCAAAAATGAATGCAGCCCAGGTCGGGAATCCTGTGGTTTGGCACCGTCACGCGCAACTGAGACTTAACTTTGCAGATCAGTCTTTTAACCCCTTCAAGAGACTGAACTTCGGAGTTTTTCCTGGAGCAAAACAAGGTTTATATCCTCAACATTAAGGACCCGGGTTTAACTAAGGCATGAAATGACGGACCCGGGTTGAACTAAGAAATACAATTACAGGCTTGGGCTTACTGGAGAAATTGAAATAAGAAACCCGAGTTGAACTAAGAAATGAAACCACAAACCTGCATTTAGTTAAGGAATGAAATGGGATTTGAGTGAAATGACAAAGCCAAATTTAACAAATGAAATGACAGACCCGGGTTTAACTAAAAAAATGAAGTGGCGGGCCGGGTGTAACTAAGAAATGAAATGACAGGCCGTGTTTTTTTGGTAGGGCATGAAATGACAACCTGGATTTAACTGACAAATGAAACGGCGGCCGAGGTGCAACTAAGAAATGAAAAGACAGGCCAGGTCTGAGGGAATGAGACGACAGGCCGGGTTTAACTAGGCAGTGAAATGACAGGCCGGGCTTGACTATAGGAAATGAAATGACGGGCCGGGCTTAACTAAGAAATGAAATTACGACCTGCAATGACAGGCCGGGCTTAACTAAGAAATGAAATGACAGGCCGGGCTTAACTAAGAAATGAAATGACAACCTAATGACAGGCCGGGTTTAACTAAGAAATGAAATGATAGGCCGGGTGTAATTCATGTGGTAGAGGTTTACTGAAGAAACAATACTTCCGCAACAATACGGTAGTGCCCGGCAAACATTCACGACAAAAAGGTTGAACTCTACAAGTAGAGTTTAAGATTCGGCAGCTGCTCCCAAGAGCAAACTCACTAGAACAATTACATCTTTAGATTCAGATATTCTTTAAGAATTAATACAACAAATGAAGACAAACGCCTGAAGGATCTCCAAACTATGGAGGAAAGCCAATCAATGACTGAACTCTGGAGCTATATAATCCTAAAAAGGAACAGATCAACTGTAAAGTTTAGACCTTGAACTCTGAGGCTCAATCCTTTCTTAGCAATCGCTTCCATCCTTACACCAGAGAAGGATGTAATGACATAGGTCCGGTCAAGCTGGACAAGAGCTCCTTGAACACGCCACGCGCTCCTTCGTGGCACTGGGCTTCAAAGCGCTGGATCCGACTGACGCTGATGATGGGCTCCTTTGCGATCGTCTTTCACACCTAGATGATCATGAATAACGACGAGCTTAGACATTTCGTGCACGGGGTAGAAATATGAAAGCCTGTGATTAAAGCGTGGAAAGGAAACGGGATTGGAGAAGACTTCCTGTGCGTCGATACAAACGCAAAACGTGATCGAACAGAAGTGAAGCTCCATCACAGGATCTGTTTCGCGCCGCAGGCAGTGTGAGTAAGATGCGTCGACTTCAACTGAGCCCCGAACAGATGTTAAAAAGCCAATGGATTTGCGCAGGGACACCAATTATAATGGTTACCAGAAAGAACTCGCAGAAATCATTCAGAGACCGGCTGCTACAACACACAAGGCAAGGGCTCGTTTATAGTTCCAGGACCCTCAACGCGGCACGATTCCAAGAGACAGTCCAGCGTTAGGAAAACAATCCGGAAGGCAATTGATTTGCTCTATGGGCTGGACTCTTGCATGTTTGGACATCGCCCTATGGCAGGGCGCTAGCAATCGAACCAGTGAATGAACCGCGAGAGGCCGTGGGCTGCAAGACGAACCAGGCAAGCAAACCAGAGAAATCCGCATACGGCCTGACCGATGCACCCACCCCACTTGTGGCATGAAGAGCTCGGTAGAACCCTAACACCTGCCCCCTTCGATCCATGCGCATATGTGAACTGAATAAGCCAGGTCGAAGACAGCCGTCTGGAATATATTAGTTCACGCGGGCGATGGCTTGCGTGGAGGCGACGGGTACTTTCAACAAGAGATTTCCAAATCAGACAAGAAAACATGCCAGCTCACGGCCACCAGAGTGGACAGCCAAACCACCAAAACCCAGATCAAAGCGCCGCCGTGTCCCAAACCAAGCACGTGAGCAAGTAGAGCCAATCCATGTGAGCCCAAACTGACCAAAATGTCTGTCGCTCAGAGCCAGTGGCTTCCGAAGAGAAACACAGTCTCCACGCATTGGTATGATAGTTTTGGCCACCCGTAACGACATGAACAATTGCCGTCCAGCGAGTCCTTCGCCGTGGGGCAAGAGAATCCAGGTTGTGACGGTTGTACTGGGCTTGGTTGCTAGATTCCCTTCGACCTCGTGGCTCGGACGGCTCAGACGAACTGCAAAGAATTTACGACCCGGTTGCAAGTAAGGAGTAAGGGCTATACAGGACCTCTTGGCCCATGGCCTTTCCCTATATAGGCTCGCAGATGCGTTGACTAAAGTTACTCATAACATTTTAACATAACCATTTCTTAAGGCATATGCTGAGTCAGGGCCGCTATCAACTCCGTGACGAGCTACAAGTGCTGAAACAGCGAGTTGTCCTTGGGCTGATCCAACGTCCCAAATGAAAAAGAACACTGTTAAGATTTTCTGGAGGGATGCGAAACCAGAAGCGTGGGCCACATGAAATGTCTCCACTCTCAGCCCCGGTTTCGGCACGAGATCGTCGGGCGTTGCGGGAGGACCGTGGATGGGCTTGGACACACGCGGGGCTGCGTGATCTTTCGATAGAGGTGAGGCACCTCCCTGGCGGTTGAGCAAGCAAAACAACCATTGGCTGGCTTGACCGCTGCAGAAGGGGCAGAGTTAGACAGTTAGGATCCAAAGTTGGGGCGATCCCCGAACTGGTTGGTGTGGTCGTTTGGTTTTGGTGTGGTTACCAATGACTAAAGGATCAAAAGTGTTTTTCTAAATCAAAAAGTTGAGCCAATAATAGAACCAAAAAATCAAACATGACCAAGAAAATAGCCAAAGAAGAAATATGGTTTTGGTTGGCTGAATTTGGTTCAATGTGTTTTGATCCTCTGCGTTTCAACTCTTTTGGATGTGCCTGCTGAACTTCTGTGGTAGGCAATGCTTACCTTTGAAGAAATGAGATGAGACTGGTGTCTGTAGAACTTCAGTAGCAGAGCAAACATCGAAGCCAAGAAGCGAAGGACAGGTAAACAGGAACTTAGATAACTTAGTTTTCGGCAAGGTGCAGGAGGCGGAGGCTGTTTTGGCCGTTAAAAGAAGGCTGGAGGGGGTTTGGGGGAGAGCGCAGGGCCTCCCCCCAAAGAATGACAAATAGTCGTGTAGCAGAACAAATAGATAAGCAGAGTAAAGAAATGGAAGCATTCAAAAGGACTTATACTAGGGTGAGATGACTTAGGCCAATTGGGTCGAAATGACATACAACTTTCCCAGGGCAAGTCCTAAGTCATGTACAAATGTTATACAGGGCAATTTCATTGGCACACACTCATGACATAGGCCTTGTTGACCTGGTCCTGAGTTGTTTTTTCTATTTTATTTTTTTTTGGGGGGGGTGGTGGGGGGCATGCTCCTGGAAGATTAGAGCTAATGAAAGTCCACATGTCCTGTCTCATTAAGAACACATTACTATCTCATTTAAGTCTGCCTTTGTGCGTTTTTGCTCTCAAATTCCTATCTCTCGATGGTAAATTCATTGTTTAGATACCAAAGTCGTATGTCATGATGCTTGTCAATATAAAATCAACTGTTTTTAGGATCTTTGGTGACAACCTCTGGCATCTCTGATTTTGAGGTTTTTTCCAAACTTTTGCTTCATGACATAAATACTTGTGGGGGGTAGGCTAAACCTTCATGACTTAGCCGCCGCAATTTGGAGGTAGTTGTCACAAGTCCTTTGTCATTTGCTGTTTTGGCCGTTAAAAGAAGGCTGGAGGGGGTTTGGGGGAGAGCGCAGGGCCTCCCCCCAAAGAATGATAAATAGTCGTGTAGCAGAACAAATAGATAAGCAGAGTAAAGAAATGGAAGCATTCAAAAGGACTTATATAGATGAGTACAATAGTTCCGTGGGAAAACGGCCAGCAGTGAGATGCAATGGCTGCAATGCGCTTAGCATCTCACATAGAATGATGGCTGTTATCAAGATCACCGAAGCACGAGCTACAAGAAAAGCATATTTCAAGCTGGCATCTGCGGGCGTCAGGAATGATCCTTCCTCCCTTCCTCCCTTCCTCCCTTCCTTCCTCCCTTCTGTCGTTCTTTCTGGTTGTTTCGATGCGGAAAAAATGATCCGGATATGTACAGCACTTTTGATATCGACAAGATATCGAGCTTCATTCATCTATTCGATCTCCTTACCACGCACCAGCTGTCACAATAGTTGCTAAAGGAATCAACTCCTCATCTTTACTGCTGTTTCAGTTGCCCCATACAAAGCACTGACGGCTTTGCAAGAGCAATGATAATACTGTATATGAACGTATGAATTTCGGTATGGGAGAGCGCACGGATTTGTGAGAGTGCAGGGTGCCCCACCAAGAACGCGATGCGGTTCTGGGGGCGGCTACTTAGTGAGAGCCAGTCTGCAGCCACCTCTTCGTTCGTTCCAGGTCGGTCCTTCTTGGCAAGTTTGCGTGTTCAAGTCTTGCGTTCCAGTTCGACTTCGTATGTCTCGCAGCTTACCCGTCCCTTGCCTCCCTATTTCGAGCGGTACAGGAAGCGTCGTTGGAAAAGAAACCCCCATTGTTGTGTAAGACACACGATGGTTGGAAATTCTCGACAAAAGCTAATTAAGCACGTCAGGACACAGACTTTAGAGCCACACACAGCCTATCTTGATATTGTATACGGTCATCCAAAAGTGTATCTGTATCTATCTGTCAAATTGCCCGAGACCATAATTAAGACTTGACGAGGGGAGGAAATGCAAGATTTGTTGGACAATTTTGACCAGGTTGAT